TGGTGTATGATGAGTGGTGTATGATGAGTGGTGTATGATGAGTGGTGGTTGAACAGCTGTTGAATGTCCGTAACACGGAAGTTTTGCACACTAAACTTCCTTTGACTACTACTTCTACTACTACTACTACTACCACTACCACTACTACTACTACTACTACTACTAATACTACTACTACTACTACTACTACTACTACTACTACTACTACTACTACTATACTACTACTCCTACTCCTACTCCTCCTGCTGCTGCTCCTGCTACTGCTACTGCTACTGCTACTGCTACGACGATGATATACTACGACTACTGTAAATACTGCTACTCTACAATATGTCATTTACAAACAGTCCACCGCATGTTGGGCAGCTTCCACTCTGGAATCCTCTGAGTCTGGTGTATGCCATGTCGTTGACACTACAGCGTGGCCCACGGCCCCTGGTTTTCCCCGAAATGCCGCTCATGGAAGCTGAGCAAGAAGAACCGCCATGGAAACCCATCGACACAACGACGATCACACCCCAGCGCCGCCGCGGAGGGGAAGGCGCCTTTGCCCTTGCCACTGGTGCGCGCTTCTTCCATGCTTTGACGAGCCTCTCATCCGCAACGCAGCAGCAGGAAAGGGGAACTGGATCATCCAGCCTCTTGCATACAACAACCGCGCTCACCATTGCAACACTATAGCTATACTTGCCTGTCCTTAGATCTTCAAGGGTTTGGTTTGACCTTTAGGGGTTCAGTAGTAACTGAATCCCTTATGAACCAAAGGTGCTAAGGGTTTAAGAGCATACAGCATACCAAAAGGGAGCTATAGAACAGCTATAGAATAGCCAAATGGATGCCTTTTTCGGCCATCTCTCGAAAGGCCAAGTGGTCCATGGATGTCCCTGATCCCTCCATGGTCACCCACTCCCTGGTGCTCCGCCGCTGGCTCCCTCCTGCGAGGCTCGCCCGAGGCCAGGGTCGGGGATGTCCGCCGCCTGAGAAGCCAGCTCAGGGCGGGGGTCCGGGCCCAACTGCCGAAAAGGAGGCGTGATTTGGAAGCTACAATTACGTGTGACCACCCAAAAAGAAAGAGAGGGAGGAAGGGAGGGGGAGAGGGAGAGGGGTGAAGGAGAGGGGCAGGAAAAGCATGCACTTTTTGCTAGACCATGTGTTGGAGGGTCATGAAACCAATCATAAACAATCCATCTTGTTCTGACCAGGTCCCTTGCAACTTGGCTTCAACTTGGCTGAAAACGCGCAGCTTCGTTGCCCCTCAAAAGCCAACACTTCGAACGATGCCCCTTTCCGAATCGAATCCAGGCTGAACCAGTCCACAAACCAACCCGTGACCTGCAGCACACTTAGACGCCTCTGGGTCTTTTGCTGAGGTGTCCTTCGGTCTCTAGTCTGGAAATCATATGTTTTTTCTGTTTGATATAAGCTGAGGGTGAAGGTCGCTCAGTGCAACGATCCATACCACGGGAATTCATCCCTCAACTCCGGGAGGGATCTGACAAGTCAGCCGTGGTGGATAGGTCGGGTCTCCCTGCTTTCACGTCTGGAGATCAGATCCTCCCTCCTGTCAGGGCTGTTAATGGGCCCCAAAGTGGGGGCCCTGGAGGATGTCTGTGAAAGAAAGAAAGGCTGGGTGTCTCCAGCTATTGGAGAGTTCAGCCCTACTCTGCCCAGTGAATCAAGGGAAGTAGAACAGGATCACGCACAAAAAACAACACACTTCCTGGAGTCTCAAAGTACCTCAGAACATGGGTACAAACACCTGTTCTTAAATAGGGATCGCGTCAAGTCGCGTCCCCCCTGTTCTATAGTCCTTGAAGTCGAGTCCAGGTCTGAAGATCACATCAAAACTGTATCAAAACACATCAAAACTGTATCAAAATACATCAAACTGTATCAAAATACATCAAAATACATCACACAAGTTGACTCCAGGTCTAAACACTGAGTCGGGTCCAAACACTTTGAGTCGGGTCCAGGTCTAAAGATCTGAAACATCCAATCGCTTGCAGTGCAGAAACAAACAGCCTTCCGCACCGGTTCCGGACCCGGCTGGGCGTCCCGGACCAACGGTTCCACCTGGCGACCGGCCCGGTTTACCGGGCCCGGTTGACCGGTTGGACCGGGGCAAAGACCCGACATCGGCCCCATCTGTTGGTAGTTGTACAGTTTGGGCCAAGCCCAGAACGAACCCAGAACGAAGCAAATATGCAGATGGTGTCTGTTTTTGGCTGCATCATGTTTCAACATGTGTCAACGTTCACATCTTCTCTGAGTCACTTGTGCGCCCCATTCAAAAAACAAAGAACCCACAGCACAGGCTTTTGGAAGACTATGGAACACTTGACCTTCTACGCTCGAACCCACGGCTGGTCACCCATGACAGGTGTGTCCGCACAGTGAATCATCCCCCTGTCTGTGGTGAAACCCACTTGAGCCACACAGAACCAAGTGCAAGCCGGTGAGCCTTCTCGTCCTCCTCCTCATCATCCTGACATCTGTTCCAGGGAACATGTGTGTGTGTGTGTGTGCCTGCAGGTGTCAAACCAATTTATGCATGGATGGTCATGTTTTCTCCAAGATTTTTTGGATGGCATTCCTTCATTCTGAGACCTGGCAACAACTAGAACAACTCACCCACTCGTGAGCAAAAGAGAGCAAAAGCACCCATCCTGTGGTACGGTACCAAAACACCAGCAGAAAAACCGCTGGCCTCGCAAAAAACCATTCCTGAACCAAGTCAGTTCACTCTTCAAAGCAAGGTCGAGCCTTCGTTCCGGCCCAAACCGTCGGAGTCAGCACGTTTCGGAATTGTGCATATGTGTGTGTCGACGTCTCGCTCGCCGGCGCGCGCCGTCCGCGATCCGCCCAAGTCCACCGGGAAACTGCACTTGAAAAAAAGGCACTTGAAGAACATACCAGGACTTTTCGAAGCCTTGGAGTTTCTTCCGGACCCCTCCCGTTCGTTCGCAGGTCCAGGAGACCTGACATTCGCAACTGGGGCTACTTGGACCGAAGAAAAGCATGTTTGTGGCAGGTGCGTTGAACCCTCGAAAAATATAAGTCAGTGGCTTCAATCATCCCAAGTAAAGGTTGAACATATCCCAAACCATCACCTTTAGATCCTACAGATGTCTGTGGCCGGTTCAGGTCCATGTTCGCAGTCAGCCGAACGGGTCAGCCGAACGGGGCGGACGAAGCCGGATTCGTGACGCGTGGCGCGGTCCTGCTCAAGCTCTTCCAGTCGACTGCTTGCAGCAGCCCAGGTGCCTGGCGATGTGCTTGGACCTTTACAGACCGAAAGAAGGCGCCTGTTGGAGGACTCGTTTTGGGCCCAGTTCGGCTCAGAGTCTGGACCCAACCCATTCGCCTTCGGGTGTGTTCACCACTCGGGCAACTTGGACCACAAAGAAGCATTGCAGGTGGTTCGGGTCCAGGGTCGGCTCAAACTGGTAACCTCTAGGGAGGCTTCAAGAGAGAGAGTGTTGCTTGTTCGACTTCATGTCACTCTGCAGGTGACATGCACGTACTCTCGGGAGACCTCCCAGTTTGACCCAAGGGAAGAAGGAACATAGACCAAGGCCAAGACGTCTCCCTATAAAGAATACACACCCACATCTTGCAGGGACATGTGTTGAACATGTCGTTCTCATCATCCAAGGCAGAACTGGTGAGCGCTGGTGGGGTGTTTTGTGCTTTGGGCAACAGCGCCTTACATGCACCAAGCTGACAACTCGCCAACTCGCTTGCCAGCGCCTATGTGTCAACTCTCCTTTCTGAAACCAAGGAGACCATCGAACCACAGCGAACATTTGGGAGGCCCAAACACCAAGAAACGACCGGGGTGGGAACCTCTCCGACTGGATTCCGCGCTATGGGGTGGGTCCATGGAGTGGGTCCAAGGGTTTCTCGAGTGGGTGTCAACGAGTGGTAGCCCTATTCTCAAGCCAGCAGACATGATTCACCATCGACAAAAACGACAGTCATGGCATGTCATGTTGCCATATCCATTCCCAGACCATCCATGGGACTGGAAGAGTGCACTCATATATGCATGGATGGGTCGTTTCATGGGGGCAAATGTTGGGTATATATCCCATTCCCCTGGGCCCCGTGGATGGTGAGGTTGCAGGCCCGACTTCATCTCGATCTAGAGAAGTGATGTCCTTATTCACCGATGTGTTTGACCGACTCTTACAGGCAAGGGGATCACCCCCAGTCCCCGCTCGACGCGATGCGGTTCCGATCGGCCACCGGGGCAAACACATCGGGCGGACGCGAGGCGGGATCCGGGGCCCAGGGCCGCGCCCCCCGGGAGACCCTGCCTTCCAGCGGTGCGAAGGCCTGGCGATTAGGTCACATGAATGATGTCACTTTGAACGGGGGGGGCAGCTGAAACTCAGCTGTTTGTTCAGCAGTCATATATCTAAAATTCTTGTGTTGAGCCTTCGTGAGCCCTTGTCGTTTTTTTTCATGTGGTGGTTGTAAGTCTTGGGGATCTAGTGACTGGAGGCCCCAGTGAATGCTCAACCCCCAAGAAACCTTGCAATTCCCACTAGAACAACGACAAGAGATTGATGGAATAACGACCAGAGTTCAACAAACGACCAGAGTTCAACAGATCCGAGCAAAAGCATCTCCTGAGATGGTTACTGAGCAAAAACTCCCCAGAACCTCGCTCACAGTGTGAAGACTCTTTTTGGGGGAGCAGCGCATGACGTTGGGGCAGCGCTTCGGCATGACTGCAACCACTGCCCAGCGGGGTTGGCGCCTCCCGGGACCATCTGGAAGGCTATATAACCTGTTCATTTCATGAATAAAGCCCCCAAATGAAGAGGTCCTACCGCTTTTACCATGCCAAACGAGGGGGGGTCATGAATTCAAGATTCCACCTTGGGCAAACACCCCACTTATCCCTATACTTAGCTTTGGATGACGGGAGAATCCGGAGGTCCTTTTCCATCTTTGGCCGCTGTCACTGTCCCAGGATCCGCGGAGAACACCTCCGCCCTCCTCCAGAAATCCCACGTACTACCGCCCTTTACAGACCCCACTCGCTGGTCGCACTGGCTTTTTGGATCGGTCGCGCTCCGGTCGTGTCATCCTCACCCCTCGCCGGCCTCGCCGGAGCGCGACGGGCGGCGCGGGTTGTCACGGCGCCTGGATGGGCTCGTGAAGGTCATCACCTGCAGCTTCCGGGGACGGCGGGACTGGCAGCGTCCGGGGACTGGCAGCGTCCGGTCGAGCCCGTGGTAGGACGGCACCGGTGAAGAGCGGTAAGGTAGGAAAGAGGTTCGGTGCCAGCACCCGACTTCACAGGTGCTTCCTGGTGAGATCCGGTGCCGAGAAAGCACCCACCTGTTAGGGTCTCCAAAGAGCCTGGCCAGGAGGGTCCTGGTGTAGATATGCTATTCCTCTTCATGATGATTCAGTGGAATCGTTGACCTCGATGATCCTAACTGGGTTCCAACTTCGTGGACAGTGATATGACCAGGTCCACCCATTTCGACCAGGCGCCCTTTCTGGTGCTCTCATTCCTTGTTCACCTGACCCCAAAGACCCAGAACGACCCGAATCATATCGAATCATCTCATCATCTCCTTGCTTCGAAGTGAACCCAAAACCGGGCAAAGAGCAGGTCGGTTGTTCCTTCACAAAGGTGTTTGTTTTGGGGCCGGGCCTGTTGTGGCAAGGAGTCTCAGGAAAATGAATACAAATATACAATATATGCTTTCAAACCAGCAGCACCGTGGTTTTTTGGACTCCCCATCCCATTGGTTCACCATCAAATAGCCATCCTTTGGGCGGTGCTGGAACATGATCATGATAATTGTAGTAATTTACTATATAATTGTTGTCCCACCAGATAGATTCCCAATGATTCCCACCTGCACCCTGCCTGCGTACGGCACAGAAGCATCCCCCCAGGACCAATCCTGGCACACATGACGCCACTCAAAACCACAATGATCCCATCAATGGGTCTCCTGGCTAGAAATTCCACCAGTCGTGGGCTGGGTAGTCGAAGGGTAGTCGTGGGCAGGTCCAGCCAGATGACCCGCAACGGAGGATCCAAACAAACACGTCCTCGACGAGGCTGCTCCTTCATCCGCTGGGCTGGGCGACAGAATGGCTTGAGCGCTCCGAATCCTTGGTCCTCTAAGGGGGATTGGCCTGACAAGCAGATCTTCGCTCAGAATCCGACCATCAGAGGGGTCGCACCCTGCAGAACTGGGCTTTCGTACCCTCAAAACATCTCCAAACCCTTTCTGTTGGCTCTGAATTCTTAGGGATTCTTAGGGCATTAGAGGGTACCAAATCAGTGCCGGCCTGCGAGTATGGTCGAAGGGAAGACCCAGGGTATTCATATATATATATATATCACACGGAGTCGGCATATGGCTCCAGTGTCATGTCCTGCTTTGCAATCAGTTCACCATCCAATCGTGTACAGGAACCTGACAAAGTCATCCCTTAGTCATCCCTTGCCACTCGTTCAATGCCAAATCACCATGGCAACGCTGTTTCCAAGAAGTCATCCCCCAGTCTCCCCCGGGAGCTAATCCCAATGGAACGCTGATACCCAAACAAGATGTCTCACCAAAAAAGTGACCTCAAAAAAGGCAGGGTAGCAACACCTCGAACAAGATGACAACATTGTCTTTTGAATGTAAAAACCTGGTCCCTCGAATGTAGCTGCACTCAACCCACTGAACTTTGCAACACAAATACACAGTTGCAAACAAGGGACGCTGGGTAGAAGAGTTGACAAACATACTCACACCCAACGGCAAGGTTGTGCAGCTGCAAAGGTAGAAAAGTGCCAAGAAGCTCACTACTCTCCTCCTTTTGTCGCTGTGGCATCTATCCTTCTACAGTCCGCAGCCAGTGCCCTCCGACTTTCTCATGGCCTTTGAGCTCTTCCACCCCCGCGGCCTGGGCCTGTGCGTACTCGAACCCCTCCTCGTAGTAGCCCATCTCATAGCCGTAGTCCGGATCCGCATAGCCCTGCGGAGGCCGGCCGTCGTTTGGACGGCAGGGGGAGCTGCACCTTATACCCCCCCGGCAAACTAACATGGAACCTGAGAATTGACCGGTGGAAGACTATGTTGCTCTACAACCCAGTGGTTTTGGAGGTTCCATGTGGTCCTCTGCAGGGGAGCACCACCGACAGGTGAACACATTGTGAACATACTGATGGAAAGAGGCAGACGGAACTGAGACTGCCAGCATCATCCTGTGGTGTGATGGCGTTCGACTACCCTACCCTAATTACTTACAGGATCTTACAGGTCTCCAGACAGGGCACCCGGCCAGGAAGTGCTGGGTGAGTCGTCGTTTTCGTGTGTTCCGGCAGCCCGGAGGAGGTCATCGTCCAGGAGTGTCCGTCCGTCTCACGCAGCGATGGTGTCTCGGTTTGGAGGATGGAGTGGTCTCAACGTCCGAGAAAACCCCAATAGGGATCAGAGGCACCACCAACAAACATCGGTAAATCGGGTCAGATCACTCTCCCTGGTTGCTGGAAATGATAGAAACTTCAACAACAAAAAACATTGAAAACACATTGAACCAAGTGGTTGCAGGGCTGTCCGGCCCTCAGTGGAACCAGGGATGTCCTGCGAAATCAGCAGATTGCGCTTCACCAACTACTCGACCAAATACGAGAGCAGTTTTTGCGATGATGTGGTTCAAACATGTTTGCACAAGGCCCAAGGGCAATCGGCATCAATCGGCTAGGAATCAAACTCTAGTAACTATAGTCAATCATTACCCTACAAGTTTGGAAGTGTCATTGCCTCTATTTCGCAACATGAAGTATACAGTATACCATTGAAGTCTTTACCAGCAAACCAAACCGGCGGGTCATTTGGGCGAGTGGTTTGCCACATGCATGCTAGCCATATCCCCGTTGTCCAGATAGTCTACCACAAAGGGTATACCTCTACCCACCACTCTTCTCGGCGGCTTGCCCAGTGTGACCAACCTCGGCCGGTCTTTTGGGGGTTGGACGAGTGATGGGCTGTCTGCGTCCGTGTGATGGTTCGATGGCGAGTTACGAAGAAGAAAAGAAATCACCCAACACACCAGGCACCATATACAGTATACAACAATATATATATATATAGTTATAAGATGTTATAAGCAGTTGATATTAGTTACATAAATGTGTAATAATATATAGTTGTTCTTTCATGAGAACAACACCACAACACCCAAAGCACCATGTCCCCCTGCTTTCAGCCTCGAAGGGCTGCGCATCATAGCTCATGGGGTGCCCACCATATGCGTGTGCAGCGCCGTGCGCGCCGTGCGCACCGCACGGCCCAGCGTACGGGTGTGCATCAAAGCCCACGACCGGGTCGCCATGGGGCACTGGCCCATCAAAAGCCATTGGTCCATTAAAGCATCCCTCTTGCGCGCCATCGAATCTCATTGGCCCATCAAAGCCACCATCAAAGCCCATCTGCCCATCAAAGCACCCTTGCGATGGCACATCAAAAACCATTCCATCAAAGGCTGACGGACAGCTGTCCATCGTGCTCGATGGCCCATCAAAGTGCATGGCGGATTCATCACCCGCAGCAGCCTCGGCGGCAGCCTCCGCCGGGTTCCACCGGCGGGTGATGCGAACGAGGACGTCAAGAGATGCGAACGAGGACGTCACGAACCTGTGACGCCCGAGGCAAATTCACCAAAGGACCAGGATGTATGATTCTGTGATGTTTGTCAGGTGTATCTGTCAAGGGGCCATCTGGGTCCGACGGTCATCTCCCCCAACAAATAACTGAAAGGATCTCAAAAACCCCCCGTACCTGTTGATCCGGAGTGCCAGGTGAAAGTGCTTGTGTGCACGTTGCTTTTAAGAATGACCACCTGAGCCTTGAAAAGTAAATGAACCCAGTTCACACGGCTCACACGGCTCGGATGCACGCGAAACATGGAATTTGACATAAAACATCCGGGCTTCCTGCATGTTGGGAAAAGGATGTGGTGCGGGAGATCAGTGAAACGTCCAGAAAAATGCACAAAGTCGTTCAATCCACAGGCACCTCCATAAATATACTGAAGGCTGATCACATGTCATGTGCTATCACCGAAATACCATTCAACAATCCACTGCGACACGATCGCACGAACATGCGATTAAAGGCCCAACAACGCAAATTCATACTATGAAGGGATCATGACCGCTACAGAAATCAGTTCGTCACCGCCTGCAAACATTTCACAAATTGGCTTATATTTAGATCAAACATGATCAAACCATGTCCACTGCTTGACCTAGCTGACCTAGCTGTAGTGTTTTGCACCTGGAGACTATATCAAACCGTTGCGCTATATGGGTTACCATGGGTTGAAAGTTTCAGGTCTGTCGAATCCCTGCGACTGCGAACATCAATCCACGTCTCTCATTTCATCTCGTACCCCGGAGGCCTTGATCCCACAGGCCTTGATTTGACCTCGCTAAAGATCACTATACTTCTCAGGTCGATATCCTCACCTCTACATTAATCAATGAACTTTTTGCAACTCAAGGGACAAACACTAGCAGAAAGGCACGAGTGTTCATCTACTAGCAAAGCCACCAGCCCCCCTAAGGGGTGGTTATAATGGACATCCCTTAACCTCTAAGGAGCTATAGTTGGACACCCCGACACGGGGGCCCTGGTATATATTGTTCGTTCTATTTTTATCTTGGTGGTCAAATACACCATCTGCCGCCCTGGCTCCCCCAGACTCTCGTGGAGAACCGCGCCAACACCCTCGCACCTGCGTGCAGAACTCCAACGCCGACGGCGGGCGGAACTCGGGGGCCGCCGCGCTGAGCGCCGCCTGACCGGCGGGGCGACTGAACCGCTGCGAGTCGATGCGACCGGCGCGACCGGAGTCGATGGGTCGAGTGAGTGATGTGTGATGGCGGGCTTGGGTGGAATGATCTGTACATGCTTCGATTGGCCATGCCGGAACCAACAAACAGAGTCAGACTCGAAATCAAACCATGGCATCCATGGCATTGAAGAAAAGGGCTTTGCGAGTTTGCAGGCAAAGAGTACATGAAATTTCTTACTGACATCCGCAACTGCTTCGTTCACTGTGAGACGGGCTTGGTCGTGATAGTCAGATAGTCAACATCATCATCGTCTGGCTGTTTTTGAGAAAAGGATCCTCTTCGGATCCTCTTCACGCTCAACCTCCCATGATGCCCTGTGTCGAAACGGTCTTTCGGAAGGGGCCAGCTTCGACCCCAAGCTCAGCTCAGGATTGATCCGAAAACGGTTTGGTCACCCTTTGAAAGGGTCTTGCGCAATGCACGTGCCAAACATGTGTCGCTCTCAGATCCTATAATAACGACATGATCTAGAAAGTGTAGGAAAAGGGTCATTGTTTCTACACCACAGCTGCGCTTTGCTGAGCATGCTTTCAGTTATAACGGTTATTATTAGTCATGCACCAGGTTCAAACCAGATTAGCTCGCTCTGCCCCCCCCACACACTTGAGAAGGTTGCTCCGCGGAGCGCGATTTCAAGCTTTTCGCGGGGATCATTAGCCCTTTAGGTGAATACTTAGCACTTGACTTGATTCAACGGAAAGAAGTGCTGAGTCCGCTCACTTGAATGCTTCAACAAGATGCATTAGCTCTTTAATGTAAATTAAAAATTTGCAGGTACACAATGTGGCGTCCCACATTGCTTCACCACGAGCTGACAGTGTCTTCGTTGGGTAGTGTCTGTCAGTCGTGCACTACCCCCCTGCGGAGTGTGCTGTACAAAACTTCCGGTTCGCGAGCAGAAGTAGTAGAAGTAGCTAGATTAGTTCCCTTCGAAACAGGGGTTGACACACACAAGAAGCCGAAGCGGCGCACTAGTACTATTCAGGGCACAACTCAATGCTTTGCTTTTTTCAGTCATTTATCCAGTCAGCTGAAGCTTGGTTTTTTTTCTCTCTCTTTTTCTTTTTCTTTTGTCTTTTTTCTCTCCTTTTCCTGCCAGGGGGTGAAGGGGTGTTCGGGCGTGCATTGACTAAA